ACGTCTCCAAAACCACCGCCCAGCTTGATCTTCTAGACTCCATGGCACCGGGCTGAGCGGGTAAGTAAGAAAAATAAAAGTGCCTTTTGCCCCTTCGAGGAAACCCTTTTGCAGGCCAAGCAAGGGCTGCGAGTGTTTGGGAGCTGAGGGGAGAAGGAGGATTCTGGAGCATTGTATTTGGCAGCCGGAGCGGGCAGTGGGCGGGGGGTTGGGACACGGAGGGCTCTTCGGACCCCTGTGCCTCTTCTGCCCCAAGGGCGAGAAGAGGGGCTCCGCAGCGACCCTCGGGGGCTCATGGAGCCGCCTGCCTTCGCCCCCCTCGCTCTTCCCAGGTCTGAGCCTGGATGGGGAGAAGAAATTGAAGTGCTTTGGAGACGGGGGGCTTAAAAGACGAGGGAGCCTCATCGCCCAGCCTTTGGCCCTCTTTCCCTTTCGATCGTGAGGATTCCGCACCCCGAAGCCGGCTTCTCGGAGCTCCGGGGTGCGCCTGCGCTGGCAACGCGAAGGAGGACAAAAGGCCGGCGTCCATGTTGGCACCATGACGCAGCATCTCCGCCTGCAGCCCGGCGCTCCTGTCCTCCTGGCCGCGCTCGCTCCTCCTCCCAAACACCAGTTTTCTTTACAGGCTTCGAGCCCGTCGCGGCTGGGCTGGGCTGGACTGGCGGGCGGACCCGGCCGGGCAGGGCTGCGGTGCTAATGGCGGCGGCTCTCCCTCCTTCCTCCTTCCCTCCGTCCCCCCGGTCGTGGGGAGCCCGGAGCAGGAGGCGGGCCCGCGGCCAGGTCGGGCCCCGAGAGCCCGCGGAGCGCAGCGGTGGCGACCCGGTCTCGGGAGCCGTTTCGGAGGCCGTGGGCCTCGGGGGCGTCGCGCGCCGCGTCTCCCGCGCTCGCCTCAGCCCGGCGCGGCGGCCTGACGGGCGCCATTTCGCGCGCTGCCCGTGGCTGGGGCGGTGGCGGCCGCCGCGCGCCAGGCGGGAGAAGCGGCCGGGGGAGGGGGGCTGGACGACCCGGAGGCCCACGCGGGCACCAGGAGGCCTCGCCCGGGCCGCTTCCCCCTTTCATCTTTGTCCCGCGCGGGCGCCCGCAGCCGAGGGCCACGGGGTCGGCAGGGCCTCGAGGCCGCCCCGGGTCCCACCGACTCCTCCGGAAGCCGCGGCCCGGCCTGGCCCTGACCCCAGGCCGCCCTCGCTGCCCACCCGGCTCTGGGCGCCCGGGCCCGACCTCCCAGTCGCCCTTTGAGATCCGAACCGGCGCGGGACGGGGGGTCGCCCCCTTTGTCCCCACTCAGGTCGTGAGGCCCTCGGGGTGGCCAGAGACGCCCCGTTGGGTCGCCCAGGGCGCAGCCCTCCTGCCCAGGTCTCCAGGCAGGAGGTGGGGGAAGCCTGGGAAAACGGAGGGGGGCCCCCCGGATCCCCCGAGGCGCGGGGCTCCGGGCGAAGCCTCAGATCTCCAGCCCTTCCCGGGGAGAGTGCGGGCGGGGCGGGCCTTTGGAAATGCAGATGAGCCGCCGCCCGGGCCCGGGCTGAACCGTCTGACTCAGCCGCCCCCGGCCGCCCGGGCCGCTGGGGGTGGGGCGATGTCTGGGGGGCTCCCTTTCAGCCCCGGAGCCCCCGTCCACTGTGCCTTCGGCCGGTCACATCTCTCTTCCCCCCACGCCCTGATCCGCCCTCCACCTTCCTCCCCTCCAGGTTCTGGGCCAGAGAAGGGGCGACAGCCGGGCACCCCCCGAATGGACAATTTTTCCTTCTGTCGACGGCAGGGGCAGGCCTAGTTTGACCCTGACAATCCTCCCATTAAGGTAGGTGTGAGTCCTTGCCCAGACCGTGAGGGAGATTTGGGGGGCTCTGGCCTGCAGCCCAGGGAGGGCGGAACCCCAAACCCGCCGGGCTGGTTCTGCGGCCCCGCCCCCCAGCTGCGAGCGCTTAGGGCCGCCTGCTGGGCCGCCAGGGCCATCCATCCCCGCCTGTCAGCTTCTGTTGTCAGGCATTTGGGGCGTGCAATTCTCTGCCGAATTTAGCAGCATACGAGAGGCTCCACTTGCAAGTATTTCCCAGTTGTGTGTTTTTCGGCGGGGGGAGGGCCCTGGGTGCCTCCTACTTCTAAAAGACACAGGTCACTGCCAGAAAGCCCAACTGTGCTGTGGCCTCCCCTCCAGCCGTCCCCGTGGGGCATTTGGGGTGACAGTGTGAGCCATCCTCGGATGTCTGGCTGCTAGGGAGGCAAAGAACAGAGATCCGGGGTCCCAGCCAGCTTTCTTTATGAAAGGGCCTTCCTTGATGCTTCACCACCTTCCTGAGATTCTTGTTTTCTTCTCCAGTCCCCAAATGGGCAGGCCTGTATATAAGCCTTGTGTTTAGAACCGGACAAAGCTGGATTTGAAACCTGGCGAGCCATTGAACAGCTATGGCCTTGCGTAAGCGGCATAGTCTCCAAGCCTGTTTCTCCATCTCCAAAAACAGGGCTAGATCAGTGATTCTTAGTATGGAACAGGCATCAGAATCACACCCGAAGGGGGACTCATTGAAAATGGACCACTGGGCCTGGTGCCCGAGTGTCTGATTCAGTGGGTGGGTCCTGAGGACTGGCATTTCTAACAAGTTCCCAGGTGAGGCTGATGCTGTGGTCAGAACACGTTTTGAGACCCCAGCCTGGTAACACCTGGGGTTTTGACGCAGAAGTGCCAAGTTCCACGCTTGGCACATAGTAATTGATTTCATTCTAACACTAGCCGACTTCACATACTGAATAGTTTCCTATCTCAGTGTTTGAGAAGCTCCACAGCTGGAGATGGCGGCCCTTGGTCTCGGACCCCCCCATGTGATCTCTGCTTTGTGATTGCGTTGATGAACCATTTGCGTCCAGGTGCTCCAGATCACACCACTCCCCTATTTGGGAGGTGTGCCCCACTCCTGCTGTGAGGGCTACACTGAGCTCTGGGGACCTGTGGGGATAAACAGGGAGACCTTGCTAAAGGTATCTTGGTGCTAAAGGAGAGAGTTCGCCGTGAGCTAGGATCTCGATAGTGCTGGTGACCTTGGGTGAGTGTCCCCCTTTAAAATGATAAGGGTGCCTGCTGGAAAGGGTGGGTGGGAGGATTAAGTGCCTTAAGGAGGTCCTCCTCCCAAACTTTTAGTTGGCCTTCCTTGTGATTGTGGTTATTGCTGGGAGTGGCTGCAGGGGGTGGGCGCTGGGCTGCCTCAGAGCTCCCCCGCCCCACCAGTCCACCTGGGGAAGCACGTGTCCCTGCCTCAGGGCAAAGGGGAATCCAGCGCTCCCGCTCCCCAGGAAGGCAGCCCATGCGGTTCTCCTCTGGAGTGGCTGAGTCCAGCTGGAGGTAGAGGCCTTTCCCCAGCCGCACAGGCTGTTCCATAGTGGGGTCAAGATTTGGGTCACACACCCATGATTCGGGGAGAAGTGACTCGCCCAAGGTCACAAGGCCACCACCAGTAGAGCCAGGATGGGGTTCCAGGTGGCTTGACTTGGCAGCCAGCGCCTGTGCCCATGGCACCCCCTCACCCCAGCTGTCTGGGTTATTTTGGGCTTCCTCCCGTGCCAGCTGTCTGCTGGCATCCCTGCCCAGGACTGTCTGGTTGGAAGTAACCAGCGTGGTGCTGTTGGCTCCTTCTCTGAGGGCCAGGGCTGGGTCTTCAATCCCTGATGAGCTGTCCTGGGTCCAGCTCCTTTGCTGGGAGGGAAGGGTGTTCCTGCCCAGACTCCCCTCTGCACAAGTACAGCAAGAGGGCGAAAGCACCTGATAAAAATTGAGGTTCACATTGTTAATGTCCCAAAAGCCTCTTCTATACTCCCTGAAACCTGTTTTACATTTGGCTCTGCAGAGTCTTCGCTGCTCTCTGGGTGGGGTCTTTACTCCCCACCTGCTTTGGATAATTAAGTAATTGACGTACGTCTCTCTCCCAGCTGCACCCTGGAGGGCTCCAGCCAGTTTCTCCCCTCCCTGGATCCAATCAGGGAGCTGTTGGGTGCTCATCTGTGGTCTGGATGTGGTTCTCAGCGCGGTGTCGGGACCCACCTGGCTGGACTGTACCCCTCTCCCTGTCCCCTCTCCCTGTGCTTTGGTCCCTTTTCTTTGTCCCCCCACCATCACCTCCTGGGGCAGGGAGGGTGGGGCAGTTTGTCCTCTTGCTGTTCCTGCTGGTCCCTCGAGGGCGCCCCGCCCACTGGTCACCCAGCGAACGTGGGGCGGGGCTGCTCCTGGCGCCCGGCCCTGAGGCCTGCAGAGAGAGGGCCACGCCAGCGGAAGGGCCGGCCAGGAGGTGGCAGGACTTGCATTACTACTGAGTCGCTGGCGTCCCCGCCTCTTCCGGCCCCTCCGCCCGGAACCCTAGTGCAGAACGTGACCTTTCGGACCCTCTGGGTGGAGACACAGCCTCTGCCTAGGCTGTGCAGTGAGGCGGCCCCACCATCTCAAGTCGCCTGGCCCAGTGCGTCTCTAGCTGGCATGTGACCTCCAGCAAACTCCTGCACCTGAGCGCTGGGAGGAGCAGGTCCGGCAATAGGCAATAATTTTTTTTTTTTTTTTTTTGAGATAGTTTCACTCTTGTTGACCAGGCAATGGTGCATCTGGGCTCACCGCAGCCTCCGCCTCCAGAGTTCAAGCGATTCTTAGCCTCAGCCTCAGAGTAGCTGGGATTACAGGCATGTGCCACCATGCCCGGCTAATTTTGTATTTTTAGTAGAGACAGGGTTTCTCCATGTTGGTCAGGCTGGTCTTGAACTGACCTCAGGTGATCCGCCCGCCTTGGCCTCCTGAAGTGCTGGATTCCAGGCGTGAGCCGCCGCGCCTGGCCGACAATAACGTTCTGAGTTGTTGCTGAGTCTGGCTTTTGTGAGGGGAACTTTTAGCACTCAAGGAGTGGCCTTGCCTCTGGCCCGTCCCCAAGTGCTCATGGGCAGCCAAGGCCGGGGGACTGCTCGGGCTTGGTAGATGTACTTGCCAGGCCAGCTCCTGTCCCGGGGACCTCAGGGAGTAGCTTCATCCCTGAAGGCTCAGTGTCTCCTGCCTCATGTGGGTGGCCCCTCTGCAGGGTTCTCAGGCACCCAGGGAAGTGGGTGCCACAGCCTCACTGGGGCTGGCTGGGCTTTGCTCTGACAACACAGCAGTGGCTAGGCCCCTGCAGCTCTCCGGGGCTCGGTTTCCCTGTTGGCCGCACTATGGCGTAGGCCCCGGTGTGGACACCGATGAGCTGACCCCCCCCACAAATGCCACTCGGCCGCTCCCCCAGGCTTCAGTGACCCAAGAGCCCTTGTGTGAAGAACCAGCTTAAAGAATCTTGTCTTCTCAAACTCTCCAGGAATTCCTGGTGACTGGAAGGGGAGTGACACGGGTTCTCAACCTCTAACAGGTAAGGGAGCTGCCTCCTGGGTGGGCGTGCCCAGTTCCTCAGCGGGCCTAGCGCGGCCCAGCCTCCGAGGAAGCTCCGAGCAGCTGGCTTAGCTCCGAGGTATTTTTAGCTACAGATCCAGCCCCTTCCATCACCACAACAGTCGAGTCCAAATCAAACGCGCTCCAGGCAGGTGGGACTGGGGTTCTGCCAGCCTCCTGGCCAGCAGGGGTGGGTAGGCAGACTGGGGCCAGTATCGGCTGTTCTGCCTGGGCCCAGGCCGGGCTGGGAAAGCACACTTGTTCTCATTTCCGGCCTCCACTTTCGTGCCAGCTTGTGCTGTCATAAGCAGAGGTTCACAGCCCCATTTCTTGGATGGAAAAAGTGGACACTGAGGTCTGAGGCTTTTGAGGACAGTCAGGAGCCCCCCTTTGGGCTCGAGTGACGCACTCACCAGCTTCTGGTCCTCTTCCTCCACCACCTGGAATGCCTTGGCTACCTCCTGTGGTCCTAGGGAACCTCAGCCCCAGCCCTGCCTCCCCAGCCAGTCACAGCTCCTCCCTGGTCACCCTGGGGACCTCAGGGCCCGGCTGGTGGCTGTGCTCCTGTCCTATCCCCCAGTCCCATGGAGCCTGGCAGGCAACTCCTCCATGATCTGAACCCCGTTACCTTGACAGCCCTGCCTGGCCTCCCCTCTCATGGCCCAGCCACCCCAGAACCTGAAGAGGTTTTCTAGCTGCCGTGCATTTGTCAGGCCGGGTTACCCACCCTACTTTTCCTGCCTGCCCTCCAGTGCTGCCAAGCCCAGTGTGCCAGCCAGCACTCAGCCTTCTGTAAAGGGTTCCCCTCTCCCAACCTGACCTCCTGGAAAGCTGGAGCATAACTGCCTCTCAATAAACGTGTTGCGAAAAAGGAGTGGATGAGTTGCTGTGCATTTGTCTAGGGGGTGCTTGACCCAAGAGACTCCCCTTTGCCCAGTGCCCGGAGAGGGCGTCCACTGAGAATCTGGGGTGCCTTCTGGCCTCCCCTTCCCAGCTCTGCCGTGGTCTTGGGATTCTGTGGGCGGTCGCTGCTGCCCTCTGGTGGTCAGACGGTGCCTTCCTTGCAGCGGCTGAGAACCTTGACCATGGAACTGCCAGGTTGGCGGTTTTCCTCCACGAAGTGAGGTTTACATGAGCCTTGCCGGGATCTTGAAAACTGGGAGTCTTTGGGGTGGGATCGCCAGCAAAAAGATCTTGAGTCCTGCCAGCCCCTATCTGCGGAAACTACGGAAAGTCAGTTGCCCCCAACTATGCTGCTGTTGAGGTTTTGTTAGAAATGGGCTCTTCTACCCCAGCTGGTAGGATCCAACTCTCGGCCATGCTCCCGTGCCTATCTGCCGTGGAGCAGCTCCAGGGAGGTCCCTCTGCCACCCTGTCCACTCACCTGGCTGGTGAGGAGGGCAGTCATCCTGCCCGGGGGGAGGGGTAAGACGAGAGGTGGGGGTTACGGGTGATTCAGCCAGCAGCCCGGATAGCACTGCCTACAGTAAGTGCTCAACAAAAGCTGTTTTGATCATGGGACGGGAGAGTTGGGGGGATTCCTGAGATGAAAGACATGTGGCTGCTGGCAAGGAAACGCATTTTCTTACATTTCTTGATGAGTGTGGGGTCAGTCTCCAAAGCTCAAGGAGAGGGATCAAGCTGACTTCAACTAGCGCTACTCCAACCTGCCCCTCCCTGACGGCGTCTTGCGTGGTTCGCGCCTCTGGCTCCTGTCGGAAGGAGGCGCCCGCCCTTCGTGGTTTGGGGCCAACCTGCGGCCGGCGCCGAGACGATTGCCCGGCAGAGGGCGCTGGACGTCCACCCTGGAGCCCGGTGTCGGGGTGCGGGTAAGCGGAGCCCAGTTCCACACCCCGAACCCGCGTACACGCAGGCGTCCCTAGCCCAGGCGAGGTGGGCAGACACGACCCTCGCGTCAGCATCTTCCCTGGTGCCACCGCAGCTACCTCCTGTGGGGAAACTGAGGCCAGAGGCGGACATGCGCCAAGCCACGCCGTTGGGGCAGTGCAAAATTGGGCTCTTCCCGGAGCTCGAGGCCTGGGGCTCCTCGCACCAGGTGCACAGCCAGCCAATCCGGGAGGTCCTGTCTGGCCGCGCCGGCCAATCAGAGGGTCCCTGCCGTAGGCGGAGCCTGCCAATCAGGGGCACCTGGAGTCGCTGGGCAGCCACGATCGGGTCTCGCCGGCGAGGGGCGCGCCGTGACGCGCAGAGGGTGGCGGTGGGATGGGGGTGGGAGCTTCTCTCGCAGCTGAGCCCCGTTTCTCCGGTGCCGCAGTATCCCTGGGACTGAGAGCTGAATACCCACACCCAGGGCTGGGACCTTAGCAGAAAGGAAACTGAGGCTGGGAGGTCGGCCGGGAGGCTGCCTGGCGGAGGTGGCGCCGCTCTGAGTGGGCGGGGCTAGTTCCGGCCCCGCCCCGCCCCCGACCTCTTGGCTCCGCTAGTGCCGGGCGCGCAGCCGCCAGTGCTGCGGGCTCCGGGCTATGGATGCCCCCGGGGCCCCGGCCCCGACCGCCGCCCCCGGTCCGGGCAGGAAGGAGCTGAAGATCGTGATCGTGGGTGACGGCGGCTGCGGCAAGACCTCGCTGCTCATGGTGTACAGCCAGGGCTCCTTCCCCGAGGTGAGGCCCGCAGCGGGGCTGGGGTGGGGGCGATGGACGCCCCTCAGCCTGAGCCCAGAGCCCCGACCCTCGGTCCCCGGCGTCGCGAGTACGGAGAGGCGGCCGCCACCCCGGGGCGCCCCTCGGGAATTCCAGAGCCCAGCGGGGTGAGGGGGTGATGATCCGGGACGAGTGAGGGGGGTGGACAGTGGGTTTAGCTGGAACCTTGGCCCCCGCAGGCCCCACTAAGGACCAACCGACCCCCTCTCCCGCAGCACTATGCCCCGTCGGTGTTCGAGAAGTACACGGCCAGCGTGACCGTTGGCAGCAAGGAGGTCACCCTGAATCTCTACGACACGGCCGGTGAGTGGGCCTGCGCCCCCGGGCGTCCCCGCCCAGCAGCCTTGCCAGGGTCCTGGCCGGCTCTTCACTCCTGGAGGCCGCTCAGGGGCGCTGGCTGCGCGACCCTAGAGGCCAAGCCCTATATGTAAGTGGAGAGTGTGGAGGAGGAGGTGAACTCCGGGGCCACCCTCCCAGCTCTGTGCTGAGAGCCCACAGCTCGTTCCTCTCTTGTGGTTCTAGAAAGCAGTGGGCTGCTCTTGGGCCTCCCATGGTTCCAGGATTGCTGCGCTGCCTGCTGTGGTCTCTGCAGACTCTGTGGGCTGCAGATTTGAGCCCCCTGGTGCTCGGATTGCCTGGGCTGTGTGTCTGGGTCCTGTGGTTCTGGGATGCTCCCGGCTGCAAATCAGCCTGTGGCTTCAGGGCTCTGTGGCCTGCGCTCTGCAGCCTGAGACTCTGGGGTCCTGTGGATGCGAGTTCTGTGCCTGCAGCTCCCAGGATTCCACGGCTTGCAGTTGGTGGTTCTGGAATTGTGTGGCTACAATTATTTCTGTGCTTTCCCAGTTCCCTGGGACAAAACCAGACAGTGTAGAAAATGAACTGAGGAAGGAACAGAGCACTGGGGGCAGGGGCCCCACACCAGGCTCTGCCTGCCACCTGCAGCCCCCCGTGGGTGGTCTACGGATTTATGTGCAATTGCTTGGGAGTCGGTGTTGTGAGGGGCGGGGACGGGAGAAACGCAGTCAGTGGGAGGACCCTGACTCCCTTCTGGGCTTCATCAACATTGGGGACCAAAGGTTGACATCCCCAGGTGAGGCCTCACCCCACCTCTGTGACTCAGTGTTTAGTGACCTGCAGGGAACCACGTCACCAGGTGGCCCTCTCCTGCCAGCCAAGCCTTGTATGTGTGAGGTGAGGTCAGACACTGACGTAGGATGGAACCAAAATCCAGACACCTCCACCCCCAGGTAGACCTTGGAGAGGACCCGAAAAGGGGCTGTTCTAGCTCAGAGCCCCCTCCATTCCGACTTCAGCAGGTCCTACCATGGTCTCTGAGAAACCTGTCTTTGTGGGATGTGGGCCCTCTAGGGCCACCCCCAAAACAGGGCCTGTCTCTAGCCCCTGGTGAGCTGGGAGAGCTGAGACATCAGAGGAATTCCCGAGGCGTGGCCCAGAGGGTAGTAAGAGTCATGGTCTGGGACACTTTTACTTTCATGTTTCTTGTCCAGGAGCCAGGGAGGGGCAAGGTTGTTCACCCACTTTTTGAGTCAAGTGCTCCTGAGTGGAGACATTTACAGCCGCCCACTGCCCTGCAAGAGCCGGGAGGCTTTTTCTTTCCTCCTCCTCTGCCCTCAGGGCCTCCCCTATCAGGTCCCGGGGTTCACTGTGCAGGGCAGCCTCCACATCATGAGAACAGGGATGGCCTTTCTGGCCTTGCCCAGAGAGCGATGCTCAAGGAACATGTCAGAGTAGATTGTGGTGTGGAGATTCTGGAAAGCTGCAAGGTGATGTAGGAAGAACTTGTGCAAAGAGCTGCTACCGGAGGGATGGCGGAGCATCCCCTGCTACAGTTACCAGGAGCAGGCGACCACCGGCACTATGGGGATCCCATCCACGGTCCCATCCTGTTCCTGCCACCCTCTTTGGAGTCAGATCTGGGCTTTGACCGCAGCTCTATTGGCTACGTATCATTGGGGATGTCTGGGCCTCAGTTTCATGATCTGTCATGAGCACTAAGAGGGTCATGAGGATTAAATCAGATTAATATATTATGTCCACCAACCTGCCCGACATGGTGAAACCCCATCTCTACTAAAAATCCAAAAATTAGCTGGGCATGATGGCGGGCACCTGTAATCCCAGCTACTCAGGAGGCTGAGGCAGGAGAATCATTTGAACCCAGGAGGTGGAGCTTGCAGTGAGCCGAGATTGTGCCATTGCACTCCAGCCTGGGCGACAGGGCGAGACTCCGTTTCCTAGCACTTTGGGAGGCTGAGGCAGGAGGATTGCTTGAAGCCAGGAGTTCAAGACCAGCCTGGGCAACATGACGAAACCCCATCTCTACTAAAAATACAAAAAATACAAAAATTAGCCAGGCATAGTGGCACACGCCTATAGTCCCAGCTACTTGGAAGGCTGACACAGGAGAATTGCTTGAACCCAGGAGGCAGAGGTTGCAGTGAGTTAAGATCACGCCACTGCATTCCAGCCTGGGCAACAGAGCGTGACCCTGTTTCAAAAAATTAAAATTAAAAAAAATTAAAAAGACCCTTCTACCATCCCTGCCCAGCCCTAGCTCGATCCTGTGCTTTGGAATCTACAGTGCCATGCCCCGAGCTGGCCCCCAGCCCCTGCTGCAGTGGGGAGATCTATCTTCCCTGGCAAGTCTCTTCCAAGCAGCCGAGAAGCAGGGCTCATGGGAGGAGGTTGGCCTCATAGTCTGACACACCAAGGAGGGGTACCCAGGGAGAAGAAATCTGGCTGCTCCCTGTAGGGGGTGTCCCCCCATGACCGGGGAAGGCCTGCTCATAGGAGGAAATCCCCTGGTCAGTGAGTGCCACCAGGGAGAGCCCAGGTCCCAGTGCTTGTCATGGAGCAAGGCTTGGAAGGTGATGGAATGAATGGGTAATAGATCCGAATGCCGGAGATGATTTATCTCTGCCTGCAGGTGGACGGCTCTCGGGAGAACATGACAGAAAGCCATGGCCAGGAGGTCACATAGAGAGAGGCAAAAGGCCAAGAGGGTAAGGGAATGGCCAAGCCAGAAATGAGTCTAGTAAACGTAGTTGTAGAAAGTTCTAGAACCCAATGGGCTACACCCAGTGGCGGAAGGGGCGTCTTCCCAACTGGTGGCCACCAGAGCTGTGAGACAGGGGTGGCTCTCGGAGGCTGAATTTCTCCACACCCAGACCTGCCCACAGGAGCCCTGGTGGAAGGCCTGTCTGGCTGTCTCCATCCTGAGGAAGTAGTTACGGACACCACAGCGGAGGGTGGACAGATGGGGTGACAGGGCTCTCAGGGCTCAGAGGGGAAGGGGCGGGGGCCGTGGCACCCACTGCTCTGTTGGCCTCACCCGGGCCCGACATCCTCTGAGGCAGGAAGCTGCGGTGAAGTCTGAAGTTTCCTGGGCAGGGAGAGGCGGGGTGAGGTGGGCTGTGAAGACGCAGATGGGAGACTGAGCTTATCGGGGCCAAGGTGTGGGGTCCAGGGTTGGAGGGGCACAGAATGGGGTGGGGGTTGCCCTGGGAGCAGTGGTCCCCTTCTCAGCCTGAGATGGGAACAGAAAGAAAATTGGCGGGCAATGGAGTAGGAGTTGCTAAGACAAGTAACCAGGGACAGGTGGGCGTCGTGAGCCCCAGAAGCACCGGAGGCCTGGGCTGAGCCAAGGCTGGGGTCACCCAGAAGGTGGTCTCAACTCCCAGCTGGGGCTGCGCAGCCCCTGTCTTCCTGGGGAGGCACAGGTGGGCCCCCAGCAGAGTGAGTAAAAGTGGGTTCCTCTTCTGTCAGCTTCCCTTCTCACGCCGCCAGCACCCCTCCCTGACCAACGCCCCAGCTGGAGCTGGGGGCCACCTGCCCTGTGTGTCCTCCTGAAGATTTGAGGTCTTCTCTCCTTAACTCTGCCCTGGGCCTCAGAGACCCCTGTCCCTGGAAGCAGGACTGTCTTGGCAAAGCCTCATCCCACCAAGAAAATAGCCCCGTGTGCGGCATGAGCCTCCCTTCCCCCAGCCCTGCCGCAGCACCGCCCAAGTGTACGTCAGGACGATGGGTGGCTTCACGGGCCTAGAGACTTCCTCACCAGAAGCACGTGCATCCTTTGCGTATAATTCCTGGGTTTTTTTGGTTTTTGGTTTTTGGTTTTTTTTGGTGGGTGGGGGCTGTGGTTAGAGACAGGGTCTCGCTCTGTCACCCAGGCTGGAGTCTGTAGCATGATCATAACTCACTGCAGCCTCAGCCTCTTGGGCTCAAGTGATCCTCTCACCTCAGCCTCCCAAAGTGCTGGGATTACAGGTGTGAGCCACCATGCCTGGTCTCCTGGGCTGTTTTAATCTCTAAGCCCATCTGCAGTGGCTGGATGGGCCCCCCTGTGACTACGGGCAGGTGACATGGACCCTTTCAGCCCCAGGATCATTTTTGTAGAATGTAGAGGGTAATGGTATCACCTGGTGGCTGGGAGGCCCCTAAAGCTTCTGGGTCCAAAGATTCTGGAGGTTCTGACCCCCCGCCATGCCAGGCTATTAACTTCTCCTGGAAGTTTCTGTTTCAAGAGTAACCCAATAGCCTTCTTCCTGCCTCCCGGCACTGCCCCCGACTCTGCCCCCGCCCCCGGCCCCGCACCGGCACCGCTCCGGCTCCAAGCTCCAAGCTCCAAGCTCCAAGTGTTGCCTCCCTTCTCCTGGGCTTTCACCTTCCAGATTAGGGGTGGGGTTATCACTGTTATCACCCCCTCTCCCAGATAAGGAAATTGACACCCAGAGAGGGAAATGTGGGCGTCAATTCGAGATGTGGAGGCTGCCCTGAACAGTCCCGCCCAGAATGTGCATCAGTGAATGGAACCTGACCCCCGACTCATATGAGAGAAGGTATTTATTAACAGTACACTCCCCCATCCCCAAGTGGGCATGGGATTGGTGCACACGGAAGTACATCCGCCCACACTGAATTCTAGGGAAGGCTGGGTTGGGCAGAGTCAAGCCAGGACGGCAACCTGGAGGAGGCGCTGGAGTCAGAGCTGGCTGCCTCTCCCTTCCCAGAGGCCCTCTTTCTTGAGAGGGCTGACATTTTTCCTCACCTGGTCAGGACTGGGACAAGTAGGGTGAGGATTCCTTCCTGTTTTCTGAGGTAGGCTAAGAAAAAAAAAATACCCCAGCAGGGTCCTCTGTTATTTACAAAGCTTCCCCTTAACTGTGTGGCCTGGGGCAAGTCACTCCAGCTCTCTATGCTTCCGTTTCTCAGCCTGTAAAATGGGGCCAACAATAGTGTCTACCTTGTAGGGTTTTTGGGGGAAAGATGAGTTAATCCAGGTG